CCCCCTCCCTTTTCGAGCTCCCTTCTCTTCCCTTTACAAGCTAATAATAGCTTGGGCCTGGTCTGCCCGATACTGGCCGTGGTAGCGTCACGTCGCGAAAAATTCAATACCCGCACCGTAGGCTAGGCAATGTGTCGTCCGTCGTACTGTCGTGCGCGCTATCTATGAATGGAGTGTACCGCTTTCGTGTGCATTTTTTCAGCTGTTGTCCTGCCACGTATGGCTGGTTAAATGTCACGCTAGCTTAAACAGAGGAATGTTTTATCGGAGTGGTAGATTTAAACTTGAGGAACATTTTCCTGTTGTGTCTAAGACCTCCGTTTTCAACATAGATCTAGATCTAGAACCCAGGCGAACGTCCAAGTCTTTGAACCACGACCGCAAGCTTATATGCCGTGTGCTCTTTTCAAACTCTATGAATGAAGAGTTCATGTTTGGGGTCACGATGTCAGCTGGTTGCATCGTAACTTCCGGCCTAGTTTCCCCTCTGTGATGATGTGTAGCCTTACCTATGATTCCTGGAACTGTCATCAAGACATCACTAATTTCAGTTATGAAATGCTATGCAAATTTCTTAATGTTGACTTTGATGAGTTCGGGATGCCGTGTGGATGAAAGAAATTTCAACTGATGTTAATTGTTTGCCATAGCTCTATTTCAATGGATGCACTTTGCTTGCGTTTGATACATTGTTTACTAAGTTCGATGTAGGAGGGAGTAGATCTAGAATCTAGCAGGCAGGCCTGCCTATGCTGAGTTGTTTATTCTGTCCTGTTTGAAGTGATCTGCCTATGCAAGCTGATAACTACATATTTGTTCTCACTTTTAGCTAGATATAGATCTAGATGTAGGTGTTTTTGGCTGTGACAGATTGTGCTTTTGAGAAGTGTGTTGGCAACAACTGCAGTGTTATTGTGTTTGAGCACAATAGTAGTGACATATGGTGGAGAAATGTGATCAGTTGTTTATCAATGTTTCTCGGAAGAGTTGTTATTGTTTTTCATTAGACGTTCTTGGTAATTGTAGGAAAATATAGCGTAGGTGTTGTGAATCATTTAGATTTCTGCTGGCAGAACTGAATTGGTACATTTACTGAGTGAACGTGAAGCAGTAGAATGGTGATAATCAGTGGTAGATCTAGAATTTGAGATTCATTTTACTGTGTGTAAGAATTGTGTCAAAGGCCTCAACCTAGAATCTAGATTATCTTAGATCCAGGTCTAATCTAGATATCTATGTGACTGAAACTATTGAAGATATTTTTCTACCTGAATTCCGGGTGGCAGATTTTACAATGGATGTTGAAGGTAAATGTAAGTCATAGTCAGACTTAATTTAGTTGGGAAAAGAGACTGATGTAACTGAAAGTACGGTTAAACGTTGTTTCTGCAAGTACAAATGGGAATGGAAAAGTGACTTTATTGCCAGTCCATGCATTTAATTGGTGTTTGCAATATTACTTTTTATTTTTAAAATCCAACAAAGTGTATTCTAATCCAGAAACTCAAAATTTGACAAACTTTTTGTTTTCTTTGCAATTTTCTAGGCTACTTGAT